ATCCTAAAAAGCGGAACTAATACAGACCATACGTGAGAATTCTAGGCCCATCTATCTAAAATACGGATTAGAATGTTAAATGGTTCTCTCGAAGCGATATGATATACAGTAGCATTGGTGAACTTATGTATCGACATTGGGGTTTGATATTTAATCATGAGCTGACATCAGTTAGAGAACCACTGGAAAAGCAACTGGGAGTAGTGGACAGCTGTTTCCTCCTAGTTTAGGACTCTTCATCAGTACGCACCCACCGGGATTCGAACCCAGGACCATCTAGTTACAAGGCGAGCTCGTAGACCATTGAGCCACTGGGACCTGATCCAATGGTCCTTGAATTCTAACTTCTGCCAATTCACGACATAGCGCGACCACTTCGCAATGTCTTCTTCGATGAGTTACTGCCTCATGTTCGATCTGATGTACCCTACTGGTCACGGCTTCCCACTAGAACCCCAGGTTAACTACCTGAATAAGACCAGGCACTAGTGAGCACAGATTAATTTTCAAGTATTGGATTTGTAGGGATTTTGTTTGATTGCATGGAGGATTTAAACATGAGGTGACATCTGTTAGAGAACCACTGGAAAACCTTAGAGTACTGGACAGTTGTTTCGTCCTAGTTTGGGACTCTTCAGGAGTACGCTCCCACCAGGATTCGAACCCACGACCAGTGGCTCAATGGTCTACGAGCTCGCCTTGTAACCAGAAGGTCCTGGGTTCGAATCGCGGTGGGTGAGTACTACTGAAGAGTCCCAGACTAGGACGAAATAGCTGCCCAGTACTCCCAGGTTTTCCAGTGGTTCTCTAACAGATGTCACCTCATGATTAAATCCTCCATGCAATCAAACAAAATCCCTACAAAACCAATACTTGAAAACAATTTATGACTTTTTGTCATTACAACCAATCAGAATCCAGTTGGTGGGTAGTAAGAAAAAACTACTGTCTATCTTATTAGTTCATGTGTGTTAGTCATTTTCATATATACCCTTTAACTGTACAGTTAATTCACTTTTTCACACAATTCGTACTCTTTAGTACTTTTCCACTCACACTCTTGTGTGACAGTTAATCTTCCTTGTTGGAAAATACACGTATCCATTCGTGAACGTGGTGGTCTTCTGATTCGCCTCCTTCGCGTCACGACAAATTAAGTACTCATCAATGTCAGTCTGTACATTATCGTCCGTTATATCTCATTAGCGTATATTTATACTCGATCACACACACCATAATATCGGCAACGACACGGCATAACATATTGGCGACGAGTACATAACAGAAGTCGGTCATTATTGTGAATTAGGGAATCCTAAAAAACGGAACTAATACAGACCATACGTGAGAATTCTAGGCCCATCTATCTAAAATACGGATTAGAATGTTAAATGGTTCTCTCGAAGCGATATGATATACAGTAGCATTGGTGAACTTATGTATCGACATTGGGGTTTGATATTTCTTTCCATCAAGAGTCCTACGAAAAATCAGGACTAATGTTTGCAGCACATTAGAGATGTATGCCCTGTATAATTGATTTTTACACATACATTTTCATACAATAAATACCACTTTTTACCCGGAAGAACCTGATTGGCTGGTTCAAGGTCATTTGACCGTGGTATCTTTTCTCTACCGTTGTCCTTCTTTCGAGATGCGAAATTATTGTTCACATTTCTAAATTAAGTTGGCAGTTCCACAAATAGATAGAGGTATGACTGTGGTCTCATCACTAAAGTGAAATATAGCTGATATTTTCCTTTGAAAACTGGAGAATGGGACATTGAAAGATTATAATCGGTGAACTACAAGTTGCATTGAACAGTTCTGGGCTCGAGAGAACCATTTAACATTCTAATCCGTATTTTAGATAGATGGGCCTAGAATTCTCACGTATGGTCTGTATTAGTTCCGCTTTTTAGGATTCCCTAATTCACAATAATGACCGACTTCTGTTATGTACTCGTCGCCAATATGTTATGCCGTGTCGTTGCCGATATTATGGTGTGTGTGATCGAGTATAAATATACGCTAATGAGATATAACGGACGATAATGTACAGACTGACATTGATGAGTACTTAATTTGTCGTGACGCGAAGGAGGCGAATCAGAAGACCACCACGTTCACGAATGGATACGTGTATTTTTCAAACAAGGAAGATTAACTGTCACACAAGAGTGTGAGTGGAAAAGTACTAAAGAGTACGAATTGTGTGAAAAAGTGAATTAACTGTACAGTTAAAGGGTATATATGAAAATGACTAACACACATGAACTAATAAGATAGACAGTAGTTTTTTCTTACTACCCACCAACTGGATTCTGATTGGTTGTAATGACAAAAGGTCATAAATTGTTTATCTAGTTAATAGACAGATAAAACATATTATGAGTTATAGTGGAATAACGATCAATATGCACATAGGAAAATATACTAGACTGTCAAAACCAAATAGATATCATGTGACTACATATCAACTTCATAATGAGTATAACCGAACGGTGATAACTGCGAATAACTTTTCCATCCATCTGTGTGAATTGTGGTGCTTAGGTGGACTAATCGTAGTATTATTAGCCTTTAAACATTTAGAATTCTGTTTGGAATGCGTTCTACTCTAACCCTTTACGAAAACTTGTATCCTGTAATCAGCCCTAGGTCTGAAACATGGTTTCTTCGCTACTATAACGATACATTTTTCGTTCAGTCTGAACGATGACACCAATTCCTCCAGGTTGGTAAGTAATTCGATCGGTGTTTTGTGAGACAGTATCCCGACAGTACTGATATCGACGATTTAAAAAAAAACTTGGAGGATCTGGGCTTCATAGACGATGTATGTTTGATTTCCCACAAACTGGAAGATATGCAAGTGGAAAGCAACAAGTTGACGATAGAAGAAGCATCAGAGATAGGACTTCATTAAGGTGAACTTAGAGAAAATAGAGCTGATGAAAATTCCTGGCCAACACCAACAGCAACAACAACAGACAATAATCAGCATAATTGGGAGGAACCTGAAAGAAACAGCCTCCTTCACCTACCTAGCTATCTGGGAAGCATCGTTTCAACTACAGGAGGACGGAATTGACGAGGATATCAAAGCAAGGATCGGAAAAACAAGACAAGCTTTCATTACTCTCAAATATATGTGAAGGTCAACAGCACTCAGCATGAAAATGAATATAAGATCCGGATTTTCAACTCGAATGTGAAATCAGTCATTGCTACTATACGGATCATGACTTGGCGTGTCATGAAGAGCACATGAAACAAACTACAGACCTTCATTAACAGTTGTCTTCGCTCAATACCACTCAAGATCAGATGGCCGGCCACAAAAGATCAGCAACAGGGATCTCTGGCAATGAGCGAACCAACCCAGCAGGTACCGATTGAGCAACAAATTATCAGGAAGAAATGGAGATGGATTGGTGGCCATACTCTGAGGAAACCATCAAGTGAAATCACTAGACAAGCCATCGCTGGAGTGGAACCCGAAAGGGAAGCGTCGAGTAGGTCGTCAGTGCAAGGGTGACTTGGAGGAGGTGACGTGAAGAGAAGATGAAAGCATGTGGGCAGACTTGGAGCGGGGTGAAAAAATTGGCAGAGAACCGAACGCAATGGAGGCGCGCAGCTGAAGTCCTATGTTCCTCTAGGAATTAAAGGATATAATAATAATAATAATACAGCTACTGATAAGCATTCTCAGTGGCACACACCACGATAGGATGTGAACCTCAGTGGGAACACACTATCATGCACTGGGGAAGAGGTATAGCCAGCTAGCGTGTCCAGAATAGGATGACTGATAATCACCACCAAACAACTAATCCCGAACAATCACCTACGATCGTGAGACTTTGTAAAACAATGGCTGAAGGACCATTGATTTGTGGTAAGAGCTTTCTACTAGCCAAAATCGGTAGACAGCAAATTACGTCAATGTTTACGTCCTGAATCAGGGTCATGGAGGGAAACAAGAGCAAAGCCTAACCTTGAGGAACTCAACAACCAATCACAGCAGACTTAGCGTAGGCGGATATCACCGGATGGTCTAAGAAACGGCAACAAAGAGAGGACAGAATAACCTAGAGCAGGAAAACAACCAATCAGACGACGTTACTTATCTGCTAACAATAACGCTACTAATAATGTACATAAAAATATCTGTTAATTTTCTCAACCAACAATCTGTTGTTACTCATAAGTAGTATAAAGATTCAGATATAAATATGTACATCATATGCAAAAATACCTATTGACTAATAGAGAGATGGATATAATGAAGGTTGCGCTTGAGAATCAACATGAGAAACATGACAGATAAACAAAGAATAACAAAAGAACGAGACAAAGCAGCACACTTTGGAAGATAACAGATGCAAATTGTGATTTTACTGTATGGTAGATGTATATTTTGCCTATATCTATCTGGCTTCCGCCGTTACAAACTATTACTCATATTCGACTTTTGACAAAGCGCCTATCCTGCAGAGAGGAGTACTGCTACTTTTTGAACTGAGTTCCTAAAACAGCAGATCATTTATTATCTCTCAAGCTATCTATGACGACATTTAATTTGTGACGGCTAATGCTACTCTACCTAGACTGTCTAGACTAAAATAGGCGTAACGGGATTCACACTCGAGACCCATTGATTGAAAGTCAAGTGCGCTGCTGAGCTTAAGCCAGCCAGCCACCAATGAGCTACATCTCATCACAGAGGTACTACTACTACCAATCTCCCTAACAATTAATGTAAACACTGTGCTTCAGAGTGTGTTTATTACCAGAGTGCTAACCAGAGATTCGCGCGAGGTCTTGGCTCGATTCCCCAAGCCAACACTCACACTTATAAACCTCATCTAGCTGGCAGTCAACCCTGGTGAGCGAGAGAGAGAGAGAGAGACAACGAAGCTAGTAACCCCACCAACCCTCTATAAAACAAACGACCGTAGATACACACTATTGAAGGCGAAAAAAGAGACAACTTCTCATTATAACTGTATATGCATTTTATTTTAAAATAATCTGTATCACAAAAACATGATATATAATAATAATCATAACAGAGATAAACTGTACAATTGAAGAAAAAGAGAATAAGTGAATAACATAACTACCTGTTAAAAAATAGGCATAACAGTACTACTGAAATAAACTACTTTACTAGGCAGTATAGCACTAACATATATAAGTATAATTATAATCACAGAAAGAGAGGGGGAGTTAATAAATCCTGAACAAAATATATTTAAGAAAAAAAAAGATAACAAAACTCAATAAATAGATTAACCATTGGAAGATCTTTTTCATTTATGCATTCACTCCCCCAGTCATCCTCACACTCAGAGGGGCAGCGGTCGTCAACACACACACACACATCATCGTTTATTAGACAGGCGTAAAGAACAAACAAACAAAAAAAGGAAACAGCTCAAAAGAAAACAAGAGATGAGCAACAGTTTGGCAATCACAGAAGAAGGCAGGAGTGTCAGAGGTAACATACATATGACATGGCACTTTGTGCCTGATGTCCACATTCCCAACCACACAAACACACACGCTCTCCATTGAGGAGACAACAAATGTAAGCCAACTTGTCCTCTTCATTAACTAATTAATTAGTCTCCTTTTTTCAGAAAGCAAATTAATTAATACAAATTCTTGTTTCACTTTATTATTATTATTATTATTATTGATGCATTTGTAAGAAAGACAGCAAATAACTCGGTAAGTAGGCTTGTACCGATGGATTGGATGCGGTTAATCCATACCGATTGGCGACACGAGCAGCATGACACGCCAACGTAACATGATTCAATACTTGTACATGCGATTCAGCTAAGATATGTTGAAAACGCTGGTAGAGAACAGTTTGAGAATTACGATTTGTAGCATCTAAATGAGCACCACACTTGACAAGAGTTTTGATAAGAGATGCCTGTAGAATAAATAATAATAGTAAAAATAAAAAAAAGTATTTTGCTAAATTTAAAAAAAGAACCCAGTGGAATACCAGGGTGTGCAATTAATAGTGTTCTCTAAGCTGACTGGTTGGTTTAGTTGCGGAGCTTTCGTCGTCCCCCCGCTGGACAACATCCCCCTTCAGCGCAATATTTAGCATTCAGTGAAATGATTTAAATTTCTTCATGAGTGATATAATTACGTCTCCCGGTAACCATCTTTACATATGTATTGACCATTTTCTATTGACTTGGATTTTAAACTTTCTGGTCACCTGATTTACTTTTTATTAGTTGGTATATTGGTCCATATAAACATGTTTGTTAGTCACTGGCTGATTCGTTTGAGTACCAGGCTTCTACGAATTCCCTGACTGCACTTTTGGTGGTGTTTCCTCTGTCTAAGATTTCGACATTATCCCAGTTATCAAATTGATGTCCATAATTGTTTATGTGCATTGACACTAAAGAATATATATCGTGTCTTTTCAAGACTGATTTGTGTTCTTGAACTCTAATTCGAAGGGGACGCCCACTTTGGCCGATGTAATGCCTGTTACACTTCATACATGCAATTTATTTTGTAAAATGGTATTAATTTTATCCCCTTTTTCTATTGGATCTTTCGGTTTGCACAATATCGAATTAAGCGATTTGACTGGCTGGCTTGTGTGCTATATCTATATCAAACGGTTTCAGTATTCTAGCTGTTATTTCAGAGATATTTCTCATGTATGGTAGGATGAATTTTCTTGTAGTCTTTGATGATGGTTCCTTGTTGTTGTGATTCGACTTTAAATACTTTTTGATGAAATTGTGGAGGGGATATCCATTCTTTTTGAAGACCGTTTGTAGAGGTATTTTTCTTCCATTCTTTCCAACTCTGGAGAGCTACAGTGTTGTGTTTGAATTCTTTTAAACAATGTCTGCGCACAGTTTATTTTGTGAGTAGTTAATGCCTCTTCTCGGCACCCATCGGAAGCTAGAATCCAAGACGAAACAGCTGTCCAGTACTCCGACTGATATCAATGCATGATAAAACTTCGAACAAGTCAAATCCTTACTGACTAACTACTGATATTACTAATAATAATCTGAATAAAAATCCTCAAAGAATGGTACCTAAAGTGTACGTACCATCAGTGTGAATTTTATATTTGACAGTGAACTCTATTACACAAGTGAATGATGTGGTGGCAGGCAATGGGCTGCTCTCTCCACTGGATTCCATATGTTAGCACATTTCTTTCTTAGTAAACTAGAGTGTAGTCCTTTAAACAACCTTATCGAAAAAATTCTAATTTTATTGCTAGTATATATGGATAATACCTTCATCGGTCACAAGATTTCGTCATGAGCTGACATTGGTTAGAGAACCATTGGAAAACCTGGGAGTACTGGACAGCTGTTTCATCCTAGTTTGGGACTCCTCAGCAGTACCCAGGACCGTCTGGTTACACAGCGAGCTAGCTCGTAGACCATTAAGCCACTGGAAACCGATCCAATGACCAGTCCATGAATTCTAACTTCTGCCAATTCACGATATAGCGCAACCGCTAGCCAATGTCTTCGGCGAGTATTTGTCCTCACACCCGACCTGCTGCACCCTACTGGTCACGACCTTCATCCTTTGCAAAAATGGTTTGGACGGGTACGCAATTATTATTACTATTATCATTATTATTCTCTCGGTTTCCGAGTGGAACATAAGGCTTCAACAACACATCTACGCCTTCTTCTATCTTTTGCTGTTTTTTCCAACTGGATCGTCCACGACTGCCCATAATCATCTTTCATCTCCTCCTCCTCCCCCTCTCCAAACGATCTCCTCCAATATCACCCGCTCTCACTGATGACCCCCACCCGTCGGTTTCCATTCGAATTCCACTCGAGCACTGGCCTGGAGTGCGATGGCGGAATTCGACTGTCTTCTCAACGTGTGCTCCATTCAACTCCATTTTCTTCTTTTGCATATTTGTGTTGAGTAATCAATCAATCAATCAGCTCTTGCCTGTTGGTTTATTCCACTGAAGAGTTTCTTGTTGCTGATGTAGTTAAATCTTTCTGGCAGTCTGGCCGGCCGGTTGATCATTTGATCTTCAGTAGATAGCCAGAGAAATCGACAGTTATTGATAAAAGTCTGCAATCTGTTGTTGAAAGTGCTTTTCATAACAACACGCCAAGTTTCTGACACGTATAGAAGTGACTGATTGACTGACTCCACTTTTTTGTTGAACACAATCCGTATCTTGTTCTTCATGCTTGCTGACTGATTGATTGCAGAAAATTTCCAAATTGGTTTCATGTTGATGAAAGCATATCTTGCCTTACTGATTCTGGTTGGTTTGACATCTTCATTCGTTTTGCCTGCCTGCAGTAGTTGAAACAATGCTTACTGCCTAGATAAGTGAAGGCGGGAAGTAGTGGCCCCTGTCAAATCTCTTCAGTTGATATTGATTGGTACTGGTGTGGTGAGAGCTGGCTTATAGTCAAAATTGGTGGATAGTAATTTACGTCAATGTTTATGTCCCCAATATTGGTCGTGAGAAAAATAAGAACAAAGACTGCGTAGGCGGATACCTTTAACTGATAGACGATCTGACATTCAAGAAACAGTCACAAAGAGATGCAAGGTTAACTTTCAGTGAGAAACAACCAATCAGAGGACTGCGTTTTTCTGCTAACAATAATCTATAATATGCATATGAAAATCTATAAACATGTGTTGATTTCCTTGATAAACGATCTGTTGCCTGACTCTTGCCTTCTGTTGTTAAACTTGGTTGTTATCCAATGACTAAGGTTGGATTTAAATTTTTTAAAATTAAGGGTTCAAAACAAAAATCCAATCAGCTCCATTTAGGTATTTTAGCAAGTAACATTAAAAAAAACCAGAAATATAAAAACTTAACATTGAATAAAAAAAATAATAAACACCTACATGATCAGAACTTTTCAGTCGACGTTGAGCAAGAACATGACCAATAGGTCGTTGACCATCAACATCAGCACAATTTGCATCTGCACCCAATTCAAATAATAAGGATAAAACATTTACATTTGGAAATGGACAGATTACAAAACGACCAACAGTTGAAGTTTCTGGTGAACAAGCCAAGTGTATTAAACTTTGACCACGATGTACTCGAGGATCTAATTTCACTAATCTGTATACCTAAAAGAAGAAGAAACAACATAGAGAATATTTAGCTTTAAAATGATTAAGGGCAGAGAGAGAGAGAGAGGATTTAAAGGAGCCTTCATTACTGCATGTTACTTTCAGACAGAGACGAAAGGGGTGGGGTGCGGCGAATGGCAACATGCTCCCCATTTTTGTTACAATTTCCAGCAATATCTGATAACAACACGAGCGCCACTTATTCGAATTACCTCTAGAACCCTACCACCACCACCAACAAATGCTAAATTAACGCAACTAACCTTCATACAAAGATGCTACACCACATGAACTGACCACCCTTTCCGCTCTTCACATTCAGCCTGAGAGGTAGCACACACACAGTGAATGCCGTGGTATCCGCTGGGATGATATTCGTAGCAGCACATGTCCAAGTCATTCAAGCCGGTGTTTCAGAAAAAGACATTTACTGAAAATCAATCTCCATTACATGTCCAAACAGAATTATTTACAAGATGATGTCACTAGATAGATACAGGCAATTCTACAAAGGTTGAAATAATCGAATACTTTCTTCTCTTGCTTTGTGTGCTACATGGAGTGTGGCGACTTGAACTGCCGCATATATGTGCAAAGTTCTATGTCGAAAACAGTCAGACAGACAGACAATCGAATACTCAGAGTTGCAGTACATCTTCAGTTCAGCGGCCAGGTTTCACAGGCATACAGAAAGACTGAATACAACGGTGCCATATATATGGGGTCCAGACTGGCGTATGTCTTCCTGACTGGCTTCCACTACACACGTTGAGAGATCTCATCTAATACAATCCCACACCAGCACTTACACTCGATTCTACACGTTCATCTGGGATGGTGAATACAAATACACAGGCTTCTGACAATTTTGCAACAATAGTTGGCACTTAGATATAACAAAGGAAAAATCCTTACACAAACACACACACTGCATAAAATAATAAGACACCCACAAAACTGGTCAAGCAATACTAGTTGAAAGCATATTTTAGGTTTTCTGGAATATGCTTAACTTTACGGTAGATTGTATCCCTCCCTAACATCCATCTAGAGAGAGAGAGAGAGCTATTGAAAAGCATGAAACACTAGACAGATACTTTGCATCCTGATCTGAGGCTCTTTAACAGCACATCTTTTAATGAATTTAGCATCAATTGTGGAAGTGATCCTGTGACTCATATTGACGGTCTAAACTCTAGGCTTCCAACAACTGTGTGACGGCTTCCATTGCAGCTACATCGAGAGAGAGGTTTGAACAACCAGGTAGCATCATCAACTCACAGACGACTGTATTATTATTATTAATTACTTCATTTAATTCCTAGTGGAGAGGCAGACGACGGGCTTCTGCCGCGCGTCTTCGTTGCGTTCGGTTCTCTGCCAATTTTTTCACCCCGCTCCAAGTCCGCCCACATGCTTTCATCTCCTCTTCACGTCACCTCCTCCAAGTCACCCTTGCACTGACGACCTACTCGACGCTTCCCTTTCGGGTTCCACTCCAGCGATGGCTTGTCTAGTGATGTCACTTGATGGTTTCGTCAGAGTATGGCCACCAATCCATCTCCATTTCTTCCTGATAATTTGTTGCGCAATCGGTACCTGCTGGGTTGGTTCGCTCATTGCCAGAGATCCCTGTTGCTGATCTTTTGTGGCCGGCCATCTGATCTTGAGTGGTATTGAGCGAAGACAACTGTTAATGAAGGTCTGTAGTTTGTTTCATGTGCTCTTCATGACACGCCAAGTCATGATCCGTATAGTAGCAATGACTGATTTCACATTCGAGTTGAAAATCCGGATCTTATATTCATTTTCATGCTGAGTGCTGTTGACCTCCACATATATTTGAGAGTAATGAAAGCTTGTCTTGTTTTTCCGATCCTTGCTTTCATATCCTCGTCAGTTCCGTCCTCCTGTAGTTGAAACGATGCTTCCCAGATAGCTAGGTAGGTGAAGGAGGCTGTTTCTTTCAGGTTCCTCCCAATTATGCTGATTATTGTCTGTTGTTGTTGCTGTTGCTGTCGGCCGGGAATCTTCGTCACCTTTGTTTTCTCTATGTTCACCTGAAAGAAGTCCTATCTTCTCTGGATGCTTCTTCTATCGCCAACTTGTTGCTTTCCACTTGCATATCTTCTAGTTTGTGGGAGATCAGACATATATCATCGGCGAAGTCCAGATCCTCCAAGTTTTTTGTGTGGGTCCATTTTATGCCTTTTTTCTCGTTGCCTGCCTCCGTCTGTCGCATTATCCAATCTACTGCAATCAGGAAAATCATTGGCGATAGTAGGCAGCCAGCTTGTCTTACTCCCGTCTTCACTTCGAAGGATTCCGTAAGTTTCCCGTTGTGGATTACTTGACATGCAGTATTGTCGTACAACTGTTGGATGAGATGTATAATTGTCTATGGCACCCCGTAATGAGGAATTGCAAACAGTTGTTGAGTAACAATTCACACTTCATTTCACTATACATGGAGTAAAAAAAAAAAACAACAGCCTACAACATTTTTACGACAGAAGCTGACCGACCGACTGGTTTTAACGTAGAAAAAAGTAAAACGAAATGCAAAACAGAGACAGTAAGCAGAGATATGAGGCAAACAGAATAGTAGTATCGAAGAACAATATAGTTTTATTGGATATTGTAAGTAACAAAGGGTGGATGCATTGGAGCTAGCCACTGAGGACGATTTGGAACCACATCACCAATTGTCTCCAGCCATTGATTTTCACTATCCTGAAGACCTGAGGACCCCAACCAGAAAGTTTAAACCTTCCTATGTGACTGGCTTAAACTAACTGTTGCGAATTTCACTGACTGACGTTGTTGCCGAGTTTCTGACTATTATAAAAGAACTGACTGACTTAAGACTAGTGTTGAAAATCGTAATTTTGTCGTTCATTCGAAGTACAGAAGATTTCCAAACTCAATTCAAAGAGATGAAGGTGTTTTGTGCTTTTCAGATTCTGGTGTTGATTTCCTCATCCGTTTTGCCTGTAGTTAGGACGACACTGCCTAACTATTTCGTCTGGCTTTTTACATTAAAAAGTTAAGGCACTCAGGCATAACTCAACCCCTCCTCCTCTCACAGTTTGTCAACTCTTGCATCCTACCTATTCTTCTTTACTGTTTACCCTTACTTATTCTTTCCTGGATTGCTTTAAAAAGACTATGTCATACTTGGTAGGATTGTGGTGGTATCCCATTGGGCCATATCGTTGACATCGTCATTGACAGGCATGGCATTGATGGCATGCAGCAAATTCGCTAAAGGGATTCTGTCGTACTGTGAGCGTCCACCGCAGCACTCACAGCTTTCACCTTGCTGCATATCCTCAGATAAAACAAGATTTCATTTCAAAAGACTTTATGCACGCGCACGTCTAAGTATAAAAATTCCACTATACCATATTTGGCAAGTACTTTATGTGATTAAAATAGTATCAGGCATGAACTAACTCTAAGCCTCTTTGTACTAGTAAATAAGCATTTTTCTCCACCCTTATAACATTAAACTTTACTGTTAGTCTTCTTATATTTATAGTCCTCGCATGCTTTTGTTTATTTTCTCATAAGTGCAAGCATCATTTAAGCTCTATAATAGCTGTTATTTTTTTGTTTTCCCCTTCACCATTTTACATCAACAGAACACATAAAAGTCCAAACCCCTAAAGATTCTCTAATGTAATTGTGTCTGCAAAATAAAATGCTTGGAATGTGACGCGATATGCATCGGACAAACATCTCGAGAAATCAAAATCAGAAGAAATGAACACCGTAGAGCGTCTGTTCGACTACCGAAAAATCCGGTTGAACTAGAAAAACTTGAAAAATCATCAGCCATAGCTTGTCTACACGCTATAAAATCAGGTCATAAAATTGATTTTGACAACATTGAAATAATCCAGAAAATCTTCAGAAATCACAAAGAACGTCTGATATAAGAAGCCAGCCATTCATATCAAAGGAATCCAAATTGACGAATGATGATCAAGTTAGTAAACTTTATTTTGAAATCATAACAGACGTACTATTACCTTTGTTATTTGGTTTAGTGATCTTCATTGTTATACTGACTTTCAATATGACTGCCTTTTAACTTGACCTAAGTCTATTTCGTCACCTCTTAACTCTTTGTTATACATAAGCTGAGTGGATTTTCTAAATTCCGGTTTAATAATACTTTGATAAAGCTATTAGCATTAAATAGCGAAACGTCAGTAAAAACAATATCGTTTTGCTCTTTTCGATGCATTGGGAAATACAAAAACCTTAATTATAGGAGAACATTAGAGTCAATAATCTATAACATGCCAAAACATGTCCACACTATTGGTAATATTGTTTGAAACAAACCTATTATTATTATTATTATTATTATTATTATTAGAGTTATTATCCCCATTTTGTACTTTGCACATTTTTGACATTATTCCTACCGTAAATGTGGTTAATTTTATTTATATTTTAAGTAAATCAGATGCAACATCGTAACAAATGCTGAGAATTACATTCTGTATTATAAGTACTGTTTTCGGAATAAAGAAGATTATTATTAGCAAATGGTCTTCGTCTAACGGCCTTAAACTAAATCCCTCCAAATGTCTTGGATTAATTCTTTCTTTTGACCTATCCTGGTCTTCCCATGTCTTAACGATTTCTAAAAGAATATATCGTCTGACGTTTTACATTAAGAAGTTGAGTCACTCAGGCATAACTCAACTACTCCTCCTCTTACAGTTTGTCAACTCGTGCATCCCATCTATTCTTCTTTACTGTTCACCCTTATTCTTTCCTGGATTGCTTAAAAAAGACTGTCGTACTTCGTAGAACACTGAAGACTGCCATTAGGACGAGTGGTATCCCATTGGGCCATATCTTTGACATTGTCACTGATAGGCACTTGATGTCATGTGACAGATTTGCTAAATTGATTTTGTCAGACTCTGAGCGCCCACTCTACCCGCAGCTCCAACCTTGTGTCTCCTCAGGTAAAACAAGAAGTCTTTTCAGAAGACTTTATGCACGTACGTCGAAGTATAAAAATTCCACAACGCCATATTTGGCACGTACTTTATGTGATGGAAATAGTGTCAGGCATGAACTAACTAACTAACTAACCTTCTTTGCACTACTAAATAAATCATTTCTTCCACCTTTACAGGTACCAAACTTTATTGTCATTGTATTTCTTATATTTATAATCCTCTCAATTTTCTTGCTTTTGTTTATTTTTTCTCATAAGTGTGAACATCATTTAATCTGTGGTAATAACTGTTAATCTTGTATTTCCCCTCACTATACTATAATATCAACAGAACATTAGATCCAATAATCTATAACAAGCTAAAATTTCCAAGCCGAACTGAATCGACAATATTGTTTGAAACAAACTCACTGATATTATTATTATTACATTTAATAATCTCAGTTCTTGCTTCGAATTTTTTTGACTTTATATCGTAAACGTGGACAAATTCCTCTGGTCACTATTGTTTTAATTTTTAATTTTATTTATATTTTGAGTAAATTGGATGCAATATCGTAACAAATGCTGAGAATTCATTCCATTATGTATTATAAGTACTGTTTTTCGAATAGAGCAGATTGCTATTACTATTATTATCATCGGATAAGTGAGGGAAACCATCTTTTTCAGATATAGCTTCAGCAACTAGTTCACTAGTTTTCTAGCCAGTCTTAAGTCCAGGTAAAGCGTGAGGGTTGGTGGGTGGGGGGGCACGGGGCTATCGACCCTATCCCGGAAAATCAGTCCACGGGCTACACAGAAACTTTGAAGCACGACAAAAGCATGAAAGCAACAAAAAAAACATTTGATCGATACAAAAGATCAAATGGCCTACCCATCAGAAATGATTAACAGAGCAAGGAACTCTGACTAGTAGTGAAACAGGCAATAATCAATAATCAATCAGTTGATCAACAAATTTACCGAAGGGAGAGTGAAGGTAGACTGAATATATACGCTTAGGGGCCCACCAACAGTGACTCGTCACACACCCACCAGGCACTAGAGAGTAGGAAGTGAATGAGAAGTGATGAAGGGTTGGGGTGAAGCGGAGGCAGGCATGGTGCAAAGCGTGACATGAAGAAGAAATGAAAGGGAGGGATTGGAGAGAACAGTGTGCAACGGGGATGCGCTGTTGTAGCAAGCACTGTGTCTAGATAGCTGACTCCGTATCCTATGCGAAAAAAGGGGGAAAAGACATATTTATCATCTTTCTTCTTTACTGTAAAAACAAAGCAAAAGAAAAGGAAAAACAACTTACTTGACGGAAAAATCGTTGACGTAGTTCAGGCGACAAACGTTTTTTCATTTCATTGGCTATATTATTATTACTTTGTCCATCACCCATATTACCACTACTGTTATTATTATTATTAGTAGTAATTAAATCTTGTATATTTGGTATCACAGTAGACAGATTCGCTGTATGATCTTGTATTAATTCATTGAAAGTTTCATTGACTACCTGAGTTATCCCACTGGTCAATTGACGTCGTAATGGTCGAATATTAGGTAGTGCCTTGCTATTCGGTACATAATGTATCAGAATCATAGCTATAAAATGTAGACAGAGTGAGACATGACGCATTAAATTGATGGCTTCTTTATCCGCTGCTGTATACGACCATGGATGTCTATGATGCCAGTGATAAAAGGAATAGTCCATACCTCTGGATAGAGAGAGACAGAACAACAAAAGAAAATAATACAATAAGGCATACGAAGTGGATCGATTATATATGTGTTCTATAAGAATAAAACGATGTTTAAATAACCTTGAACTACTACTATACATCGTTTGTTAGACAGTTATTTTCTCTCTCCCTCTCTCCGTATATACACGTGATAAGTTTTTTATAGAAACAAAAGGGAAATATTCGCTATTGTGAAAGGAAACCCTTCTGTTTTCTTGAATACAGTCCACTTCTGTAAAAAAACGTTTTCAAGTATGATCACAAATTGAAAACCAAGGAGTTACGGGAAGGCTGTTTTAAGTCCTTGTTTGTCACTCTTCACCAACACGCATCTATGATATGATCTCAACCGGTTACAACATAGAAGTCTGCATGCACAGATGTGCAGCACTTCGAGTTGCTATATTGACCGTCGTCAAGGGATTCGATGTAAAGCTATGGATGTATGCGTTATACATGTCCTAATCGTCTCTTTCAATCGATGTAACTCCATAACACCATATTAGTTTGTTTATTAGATATATCACACTGAGTGTAACAGTATTATTTACTGGATGACACAGTTTCGAACAAAACTCCTTATTGGTCATAATCATATCAATTGTAATCACACGACTTTGAAACTTGATTTTTATAGTCTTCTTTGTTCGCTCCTATTTGTCGTCGTAGGGGTAGTAGAATTTTCCAGATATCTGGCTGGACAGGTGTTCAATCATTCCTATTACATGTATTTATCATGAGCATGCTCATGTAATAATGATAATAATAATAATATTAATAATGACGACACCAACAATAAGGAATCTATATCATCAGTAGTAATTCCATGCAAGGAAAGAACCTCGTAAGCCTTACGCCGAATTCTTAACAAGGCAGGAATAAAAGTGGCTGGCATTCAAACCCCCCACAAAGTCAATTAGAAACAAGCTTTGTTGGTTAAAGGATCCTAACAGTAGAGCCTTTAAAACAAAACAATTTAGTTTATCTAATTACCCTGCCTGCAATGATTGTGAGGTCAAACTAGTAGAACAGGGGCAGTCAGTGAGACTAGCCGAACATAAAAACCTACCAAAATCTAGATTGGTTGACCCAAATAAGATAAGAAATCTAGAGAATAGTTCAGCTACAGCACTACATGCAGTTACACACAACCATACAATAGGATGGGATAGGATGACAGTTTTAAAATCTAATGTCACAGGGTGGAGGGAGAGGTTGATAACAGAAGCTTTGTTTCTCGTATCAACTGCAAATACACGTAATAGAAATGATTGAACACCTGTCCAGCCAGATATCTGGAAAATTCTACTACCATGCCTACGACGACAAATAGGAGCGAACAAAGAAGACTATAAAAATCAAGTTTCAAAGTCGTGTGATTACAATTGATATGATTATGACCAATAAGGAGTTTTGTTCGAAACTGTGTCATCCAGTAAATAATACTGTTACACTCAGTGTGATATATCTAATAAACAAACTAATACGGAATAGCTTACTACCACAGTGCCCAAGTTTTACCCATATATATTAACGTAACTTCACAACCTCGTATAGTGATTAACTTTCCCTGCTTACCAAACACTCGACCGAAGCCTAACCTTAATATTACACACCCTATTATGCCACACAACATGGGATATAGTACGCAGGTACCTCTGATCAAAGACACCTGGCTATGCTTTTCATATCCTCCACTTTTAACGGCCATATCTCACAGCCAGCCATAAAGGAGGAAGGAGCGAACTGCTGGGCAATATACACGCCTTTTGGTCGACTTCCGGATATCACGTTTACTAAGCTGGAGATGCCGTAAGCTGACAAATGCTAAAAACGAGCCTTCTGTGTGCATGCTAAGATTTCGTCAGCGATCCACTCTCTGAGGCTTACGCAACTTTCCCCCGAATAAGTGAAGTGGTCAACACGCTTCCTCACTTCACTCCTGGATTATCTTTAAGCTAGAAATCGAGGTAGTCCAGTCCTGTAGCATCATCTTAAGTTTTTTGATAGGGGCGAATCGTATGCTCTCATCCACAAGGGATTAAATTCGGGATCCTTTAGGTTGCAAGACAACCTCGTTGACTACTACTCAGCCACTAGCATGGATTCTAAGTTCCAATACTCGATATGCATACAGTCAGCAATGACATCGGGTGAATATCTGTTCTCTCACCCAACTTGGCGAAACGCACTGGTTACAACTTAGAACTTCAGGCAAGCTTATCCTCACGGTCAGTCTATAGTGAACAACTGTCTTATTTTTTAAGGATTTATTAGGCTAATAATTGATTTGGTTGATTTGAAGAAAAACCACCCACTTCAGTTTTCAAAATAAAACAACAGTTTCAAACACACGTCTTCTTCCTTCACGTTCCCAGTGGAACATAGGGGGCTTCAAGCACCAGACTTGAAGTTTCTGTGGCAGTAGTGTTTATTTTTACAGGACGGGGTTGCTAACCAGCCTCATGCCCAACCTTTCCTCTTTACCAGCTTTATTACTGGCTTAGCGAGGTAAAGGAGTGCATCGGTGGCCAGGAGTCAAACCCCAGACATATGCATGGTTGGTGAGCGTCCTAACCACTGTGCCACCGACGCACACACACACACACAAGTCAATTAAACATAAAAATGGCATCGCATTAAGTTTTTGTGCTGAAAACTATAAAACACACTCGACAAACGAATGAACGCACTAGTGACCCTAAGTCAACCGATTAATCGCATTAAAAGAAGGGTGAAACTTTGGCTGAGGGAAAGATAACCTGAGTTAAGAGTTAACAATCACAGTGCTCTCTAGGATTTAGGAAAAAGTAAGATTCTTAATCTTAATTATAAAATGAATATAATCTATCCTAATCCTAACCTTTTGTTAAGCTAATTATAATCTAAGTTCTATAAGGATAATGGAATTATACTCTACCACCACAGTGCCCAAGTTTTATCCTTATATCAGGAAGTTTACATATCAGAAAGTTTAAGACCATGGTACAAAAGAGATTGATTAACTTTTCGTGCTCATGGACATGAGCCAGTGGTTATTACCTTTCACCATGGAAGTGTTGCGTGACCACAGAGCTTAGGGGGCAACTGCTTTAAGGCCGGTAACAAATGGCTTGTTTGAAGTGGTTATGTCAGTAAGTAAGGTAAGTCGGAACGTACACTATTCGAGATTGACGTATTCTGACCTCCCTCTCTCTGTCTAAGGCGGAAAGGTAGCGTTGTTGGCTTGTTCATCATCTTTTAGGGAAACACCTTACTAGTGTTACATCTCGCTATTCGCCAGTGGTACGACTTCACACCCACAAAAGTGTCGACACAGTGTAAACGACTAAAACTATGACGGGTTAACTGCTTTTAGTCTAACTGCTATTCAAACGGCTCTACTGGCATGATAGAGTCAAGCAGGAGCATCAGTTAAAGACAGTATAGTCTGTTGAGTCTTTGTGATATGAGAATAAACGAACCTTTTCTGCACACACAGAGATCAGGGTGCCACCGATGATATTACATTCCTCGAAGTTCAGTCCATGCACACAAATACACACACATACTGTCTGTCTGTTTTCGACATAGAACTTCGCATCGATGTGCACCAGTTCAAGTCGCCACACTCCCTTCTTGTAGCACACAAAGCAAGAGAATAAAGTAGAAGAAATGCATATTAAAGACAGCAAACAGAGGTGTGAGACAAAGGAGTAGAAATTACGTAAAACAATATAGTTTCATTGGAAATCATAAGTCACAAGGAGTGGATGCATCTGAGCCAGCCATCACTGAGAACGATTTTGAGCCATATCACCAATTGTTTCCAACCATTAGCTATTACCATCCCGAGGACTCCAACTAGTCAGGAAGTCTACACCTTCCTACGTGACCATCTTAAACTAACTGTTGTCGAATTTCATTGACTGGTGCCGCCATGTTTTGGTTTGACCACCACCACCTCTTTTCCAGCCTGACCATATGTCAGCTAACATTGCCCGTCCGTCGAGAAAGGAGATGACTAGGCGGGTATGCGTAACACATGTCCTAACCATCTCAGTCGATGTAATTTCACAGCCTCGTCGATTGATTTCCCCTCCTTACCTAGCACTCGACGGATGCCTAACCTCAATATTCCTCACTTTATTATACCATTTCACACGGGAGATAGAGCGCAGGCAGCTATGATCAAAGACAGCTAACCATGCTTTTCAAGTCTTCCACTCTCAATGGCCAGTTCTCGCTCACAGCCATAAAGCAGGACGGAGCGGACTTCTGAGCAGTACACCCGTCCTTTGGTCGATAGTCGAATATCTCGTCTACGCCGGAGACGGCGTAAACTGGAAAATGCGAAACGAGCCCCCTGTATCCGTGCTGAGATTTCGCCAGAGATCAACCCGTTGGGGCTGGTGGTACTTCCCAAATAAGTGAAGCGGTCAACGTGCTCTACCACTTCACTTCATATTTCTAGTCTAGGAGTCGGTGTAGTCCAGTCCTGTAACATCATCTTGCATTTGGTGGGAGCGAATCGCATGCCAAACATTCGTAGATTGCAGCTCAAGGTGTTTAGAAGACTCTGTATTTTGTCCACGTCCTCGCCTAGAAGGACTATATCGTCTGCATATTCTAAGTCAACAAGATTATTCCCTGATGATACACCCTCTTCCTGGTCTAAAGGCTGCCTGACTCTCTCGTGTTTGTGCCTCCCACACATACCTTTGACAAGTGAATTAGATTTCGATAGTAGAACAGCGTTAATGATCACAGAGCATTCATAACACTATGAGACTACATACAGTAGCAACAATACAAAGAAAAATAATGATAATAATAATAATAATAGCAGTAAAACTTACCTTTCTATATTGTCTATCGCCAATTCTAAACAATCCACTATCAGTGTTGGATTCAAATCGACAGCCGGTAGACCAATACAATTATTTGTTAGAACAAAATGAAATAACTCGGCGAAACTAACAAAAGCAGCCTGTGAGACATGACATAACGGTTCAAGAAATGTACGTTGTAATTCTAGAGCATAACGCCATAGACTTAAACACTGGTGGAAGTTATCAGCATCGGCGTAGATTGCACCACGATAGCTAAATGTTTTTTCAGAAAGGAGAAAAACGAAAACAAAAACAAACAAAAAAAGAAATTCACAATGTGCTATGACACACACACACACACACAATAACGATAGTTGTGTTTGTATTTGCTTTGCCTACTTGACACGGGATCGAAACTCCACACCATGTGTGACAAGATTCGATCACAGTGAGGTGGGGGCGATCGGCTTTCAATCAGTGGGGGTCTCGGGGTTAGAGCCTGATCCAACTACCTACCTACCTCTACCTCAGGCTAGGCAATTTGGTTACTATGATCAGCTCTCATACTACAAGTATGAGTCATTAGTGAGTGTGTAATTGCTTTTGTGAAGTGTGCTACTGACAAGAATTTTTAAGTGGTATGTGGGTGACATCTGCAAAAAACTGCAATACCACAGGGAGAGAGAGAGAATTGAATTGAGCATATATGTAAGTAAAATTACATTTGTATAAATCTCAGTGAAATTTATATAAACAACTCCAACGTCATGGTCATGGGGATTTGAATTTTAGAATACATCTGTCATATGCAGGAGTGTAACTATGTAGGTAGATAATTTAATATCGTTTGTTAGCACTTCACACTAAGATTTTTTTTTGTATTTTGATCATAGCTTGAAACCACACAGTATTTTTGGTACAAGTATAGAATTTTCAGCTTTGTGATATTGGTAGGCCAAATTTTGCAGGCCAACCATAGATATGAGGTGTGCGTCGACAGGGGGTCGAACCCCGCACCAAGTGCATGGTCGGCGAGAGTCATAACCGCTGTGCCAACGACGCACAAAGATTAGGATGATACGTGTAAGCGTGATAATATATCATTAGGTGTGGGAATTAATGATGCATATATCCATTTCAATTCTTAGTCAATACTTGCCGTGCATCAGCTAACATCCCATTGTCATTGGGATTCACCTATATATACACATGTGTGTAGAGCCTCTGAAGTCAGTCTTTGTATATACGAACCAAAACCCTTCTGTAGAACGTTGGTTGTATATCAAAGTCGATCTTGTGTCCCATTTGCATTGAGTGAAGTGCAATCAATCGCCGATCCGTTTTCTAGCTTGCTTCTTCGAAGCTGCAGACATCTTTAGAACCGCCTTTAGACACTGTTTATGATGCTCCTTTGACTATTACATTTTTCTGTCTAGAAGTTTCCTCCTACATATATACACAGCGTCACAATCTTCATAGTTTATCCGTTATACGAAATTTTGTCGGGTTCTCTGCTTCTGCTTTCATCCTTCACTTCCACTAATGATGAGAGTAAGGTGTTCTCATAGCACAAAAATACACTCTTATGCAATGATTGTAAAAGATTCACTTTATTTCATCCAACATATTCATTGCAATAAGGAATCATTAGAGTAATTTGATTGAATACTAGTAAGTTAGTAACTAGTGTAATGTGTCCACAGTCCTTGGTTTGGTGCAGACTGGATTCATCAAGCTTCTGTCTGCCTGTCTGTTTTCAACATAGAACTTTGCACCGATGTGCACCAGTTCAAGTCGACACACTCCATGTACCATACAATACAAGAGAAGAAAGTAAAACGAAATGCAAAACAGAGACAGTAAACAAAGGTGTGAGAAAAAGGAGTAGAAATTATGAAAAACAATATGGTTTCATTGGAAATCATTAGTCACAAGGAGTGGATGCATCTGCACCGGCCATCACTAAGAACGATTTAGAGCCATACCACCAATTGTCGCCAGCCACTGATTTTTACCGTCCTAAAGACCTGAGAACCCCAACCAGGAAGTCAGTCTACACCTTCCTATGTGATCGCCTTAAACTAACTGTTGTCGATTTCATTGACTGGTGCCGCCATGTTTTGGTTTGACCGTCGCTAGCTCTTTTCCAGCCTGACCCTACATTAGCTAACATTGCCCGTTGGTCGAGGAAGGCGATGGCTAGGCATACGTAACACATGTCCTAACCATCTTTCTCAATCGATGTAAATTCACAGCCTCATCGATTGATTTCCCCTCCTTACCTAGCACTCGACCGATGCCTAACCCCAATATTTCTCACCTTATTATACCACTTCACACTGGCGAGTACATGCGAAATTAGCCCTCTGTATCCGTTCTGAGATTTCGTCGGAGATTAACTCGTTGGTGTTGGCTGATGGTACTTCCCAAATAAGTGAAGCGGTCAACGTTCTCTACCACTTCACTTTCTATTTCTATAGTAGGAGTCAGTGTAGTCCAGTCCTGTAACAGCATCTTACATTTGGTGGGAGCGAATTGCATGCTAAGCAGTCGTAGATTGCAGCTCAAGGTGTTCATCAAGCTTACAATGTGGCAGCCATCTAATATCAGCAGCTCAGAATGCAGCGTGATGGCAATCCATCTACCTAGTATGGTGGCGACGACACTGCAGATTTAAATGATACAATTCAGTTTGCATCAAATAAAGGACTAGACACATTACATTAGTTACTAACTAGTGTTCGATCAGATAGATAGCCAGTAAAGTCTTACAGGAGGTCAATCGCAAGCCTGAATAGCTCAGTGGTAACATCTCTGATTGCAGCCCTACTGGCTGACGCGAGTTTGAATCTCTGAAGTCGCGACATATGAATTCCTCCGAGGTTGCAGATACGCCTTGTTGTGTGACTGGTGAGCAACTAGCCAACTAGCACGTAACCTAGGTGCAAGGCTTAATTGCCAGTTGCCTCCAATATCATCTAAAATCAACAATTTACAATCACTACAGTATACTAACCCTGCCCTTAGCAACAGGTTTTGGTGTACGCATATCATCACTTTTTTCAAACATCTTTTAATAAAGGCTTTCATGTAATTATTTAATTCTCTGCTGATCATTTCTCCTTGTCCATTAACTAGACGTTTAGCTTTCTATTAATCAGATTCTAAGGCACAGCTATTTTGGTGGTAAAGGGATGTACCGAATTTATTATTATTATTTATTTAAACGCAGAAAAAAACTTGGTACAATATGGCACCAAGAAAGATGCTGCACAGAATAATAATAAAACAACATAGATTAAAAGTAAAAATATAAGTAAATAACGGATACAGAACTTCATCTGGAAGGAAAACAGTCATGCTTAACGATTTCAAACAGTATTCGCTAACCATCAACCGGAAGGGAAGAAAGAAGGAAATTGCACCACCTCCGCCATTGATTACGATTCTTGGCCATATCCGATGACGTTTCGAGACATCGATTCAAACTATCTCGTGGACCCCAACAAGGGAGTCGTGACGCACCAACCGATGCTAATCTAGCACAAACAACCTTCATCCCTCCGCCTTTTCCATCCCGTCCCACGGCTGGCTAGCGAACAGAGACCTGTACGGAAGCCTCTGGGATGACATTCTCAGTACATGTCCAAGCCACTGGAGCCGGTGTTTCCAGATGACGACACTCAATGAGTGGTGATCTCCACTGTCTTCAAACACACGCCGCCGAACCTCAGGACTACTCACGCGATGATGCCGTCGAACGAAAGCAATTTTGCGGAGACAGCGATGATCGAACACGCAGAGTCGCCGCATATCCTCAGCTCGGAGAAGCCAGGTTTCACAGGCGTGGAGCAAGACAGCTCGCACCGAAGCAATGTATACCTGACCTTTGACAGCCAGGCTAACGTCGCGACAGCGCCATAGGTGGCTTAAGTTGATGTATGCCACCCTAGCCGAATTTAAATTCAGGTGTGTCTGTCCGAATGTGTAGTCTGGCTTTCTGAGTAAGTGTATTGATTTTAATAGTTTACCATCTATCTGCTTGTCTTGGGATTATCTGTTTCGCAATTTCGCTAAGATTTATACACACATATAATTTTTACATATATGTCTACTTTTCATTCGGCACCCAATTGTTGTGGAATTCTATCCGGTCAAATCTTGTATAAAGAGATGAGATGAATTCAGCTGTCATGTAGAATGCATCAAATGAAGACAAAAGAAGCATAAATATGAATACTTTTCACAAGCTGAAGTTTCTGTGAAAAGATTTTAATATTATGCCATTTACTGTACGCCAAATAGATAGATAATTCTACAACCCAAATGTGTGTTGTTGTTGGAACTGAGTTGCTCAGAATAGACCATTCGTGTATGAAGAGCTAAGGACCACCTTTATGGTGTGTGACGGCTGATCACACTAATCAGTTATCCAAGTAAGTGAAGCCAGGACCTACTGACTAAAATTCCACTACTTACGCGAATGGACCACATCTCAACCGATCGCGAAATAATTTATACGAACTCTGATCACGATTTGATAGAATAGTTCCTGTGGCAAGTCAGATTTTCATTACGCCTTCAATCACACACAAGGAGCTGTTGAATACTTGGCTGGCCCCTAAGGGCTCTCAAGACGCCAAGGACTGATGGCTTAAGATTATTGATGATATATGGCTGAAAATCTCTTTTTCTCTACTTTTGTAGGCCGTATAGAGTACGGCGACTTGAAATGGTCCATTAAATTCTCTGTAAATCCTCCATGCTGAAACTTAGTCAGTGAGCCACAGAAATAAAAAGATAATCCTAAAAAGGTAGATTAACTTACCGAATAAAATAAATAGTATCCGGATGATCTGGACCTAATATACGTAAACGTATTAACAGTGATTGTAATCGTAGTACGTGGGTATTCGACATTAGACTAGATAATTCATCATGTGTTCGAAATTCGCATACATGTCCAAAAGCTTCTTCACCGCATTGTTTCAATCGACGTATCAATGGATGATTTTCTGTTGCCAAATGACATTGTGGACAAATATACATTGAACTATCTTCAGTCTATTATAGATGATTGGAAGAAGAAGAAGAAGTGAGAACACAGACGAAAAATGAGTACAAGTTAATGCAAAGGTTATATCAATAAATAGGAATACATGATTATACCATCACTGTCCAGATACATACACCTATGACACAGACTGAAATACATTTTGTTAATTTCGTCGGTTCTCATCATCTGCTGCTATCAACTTATAATATGTAATAAAACCGACTATAATACAATATTAACACACATCTCGTTTATCATTGTGAATCAGTCCTCCAGTAAGGATTATTGTAAGAAGGTTATTGTGTACCAAAATATAAGGATGGTAAGGTTGTAATAATAGAAGATAAGGACCAGACAACAGATGGTTTATTAAGGAAATCAACACGTATTTATATATTTTCATATACATTATTATAGCTTATTCAAGCAAACAAACACAGTCTTCTGATTGTTTGTTTCTCACAGAAAGTTGACCTTGCATCTCTTCGTGGCTGTTTCTTGAATGACTGAATTTGTTTCGGTCTTCTTGATTCTAGGCAATTTGTCCGTTCGTCTTGCTGTCTGGAGTCGCGGCGCTCTCTGATGTTCACCTGTTTCTCTTTGTTTGCCATTGCGATTGTGTCTGCGTAACCCCATCTCAAAGTGACCATACGCGGTCCTTCCCACGATGGAAACTGTATGCCTGACCCTGTTGAGCATTCGTCAGTACTTCGCCTTACAATTTCGTATGCTGCTTTCTCCCGACCTCTCGGGAGCGTCCCAAGTAGCAGCCTCATCGCTGACAGATCTTGAACCCCACCTAACTGCGCTGTAGCCTCGAAGTCTTGCCCGAAGATCCATATGTCTCCATCAGAAACTGCAGGGCATAGGATTTCCATTTATCGGTAGGCAACGATACCAAATGTAACAACAGAAGACAAGGGCAAGGCAACAGATCCTTTATTATGGAAATCATGTACATATTATAGATTATTGTTACTAGAAAAACACAGTCTTCTGATTGATTGTTTCTCACAGAAAGTTAACCTTGCATCTCTTTGTGACTGTTTCTTGAATGTCGGATCATCTATATGTCAACGGTATCTGCCTAAGCAAAGTCTGCTGTGATTGGTTGTTGAATCAGTCTTGTTCATATTTTCTCACGACCAATATTTGGGACATAAACACTGACGTAAATTAATGTCTACCGATTGGCTAGCAGCCTGCTCTCACCACAAGGTTATCTCAAAGTAGTAGCACATAACATAAACACATATATTATACGACTGAAGTTTCTCATGAAAAAAGGATAGTTCTTTTTGTTAGGACAGTGTGACAAGTCAGTGATGATTGGGGAATTAGAGATAATACATGATTGATTGGTTTCAGGATTTCATCATGAGCTGACATTAGTTAGAGAACCATTGGAAAACCTGGGAGTACTGGACAGCTGTTTCGTCCTAGTTTGGGACTCTTCATAAATACGCACCCACCGGGGATTCGAAAACAATCAAGTCCCTACAAACCAACACATGATTGATTGGTTGGAGGATTTCATCATGAGCTGACATCAGCTAGAGAACCATTGGAAAACCAAATAGGATGGAGTACTAGCCAGGCACCTAGCTGTTTCGTCCCAGTTTGGGAATCTTCAACAGGACGCACCCACCGCTAGGGTTCGAGCCCAGAAGCTTTTGGTTATAAGATTAGAGAGCTAGCTCGTAAGTCATTCAGCAGTCACTGGGATCCGATTCAATGGCCAGCCAGCCCGTGAATTCTAACTTCTGCCAATGCATGACATAGCGCCGCCACTTCGCAATGTCTTCTTCGATGAGTTATTGAATAATCAAAATTTTGTGTGTACGAAGTCTAATCAAAAGATGATGATATATTACAGTGAGTAGAATTCAAGGGATTACCAATTAAACCTAATATGAAAGTTAAGCGGAAAATTGGTAGGGAGGGGTTTTGAGACAAAATGATGAAATCAGAAGACAGGGAGTTACTAAGACGATAATTACACCAGGGTAATTGAAGTCCCAAGACGGATTCACATTTTGAACACATAGTTCAGGTTTTTGTCGTGTTTTTTTTGAGAAGTCAAGCAAAGAGACCTGTAAAGCCAGCGAGAAAACCAAACTTCATTCAACTTGACTTCAAAGGTGATTGATAATTGTGAGACTGATAAATATTTCATATCTTGATGATTTCTAAGAAAATATTCCGTCTTACCTTCTACATAAAGAAGGTTAAGATATTCTGGAATAACCCAACCCTTACTCCTACGATTCGTTAACTCTCGCATCCTGTCTTTTATTCTCGATTGTTCCCCCTTAGTTTTTCCAGGGCTACTGAAGAAAGACTATACCTTATTACGCAGGATGTTAAAGGCTGTCAGCAGGATAAGCAACGTTCCACTTAACCAGCTTGTCAATATTCTGGTCGACAAGCACTTCCACTCATGCGATAAATCAGCTAAATCCATTATATTTAACTCACACCACCGTCTTCATTCACAACTCTTCCCTTGTATCTCATCAGACAGAACCAGAAGCCTATATAGAAAACTATGTGCTCGGAATAGCAAGTAAAAAAAAACTCAACCATACCCTACTTAGCTTGTGTTCATGCGATAAAAAAAGCAATAGGCGTGTAACTTATAACTTAATAAATAATCAGTAGAACAACTGGATCTCGTCTTTCCAACTCATATCATGTATAGGTACAACGTTTTCTTTTTTTATGGGCTGTTTTGTTTCTCTCTTCCTTACAAACTCTACTCAAAACATTCTTCTTCGTTCTTTCACACTCTGTATATCTCGACCTTTTCCTTACCGCTTACGCCATTAAATATGCAAGCATCTACTTTTCTAACATCATCAAACGTTATGTTCACTGTCGGCTTTGCTACCAAGTGCCAATATGCTGTTGTCAAAACTGACTGAGATTGCACATAATCTATGTAGAATTTTATTTATTGTTAATGTACCAACTGGATGCGCAATACTGTAGTAAAATGCTGAGAATTCCATTCTGTATTACAAGTACTGTTATGGAATAAAGCAAATTATTATTATTTTTATTATTAAACATTTACGTTCATCACTGGCCAGGACGTATGGGAGCAGTAAAACTCGTCTCCCTCTACTCCGAATATCCTACTCGTTGGAACAGTAGGAAATCGACCGTCACCCCACATAAGTTACATCAAACCGTGAACATCAATTCACATATATATAAGTGGGGGAGGGGAAGTTACATTAGAAGAAGAACAGAAAGTACGGCCTACATCAAATTGTTTGAATATACATACCAAAAAGACTTTAACTGAAGGGACTGAATTGTTTGAACCTTGTCAGTATTACCAAACACACCTGATAGAGACAGGACACCAAGTGGATGCAAACTTCCACCAGTGTTTAAGTCTATGGCGTTATGCTCTAGAATTACAACGTACATTTCTTGAACCGTTATGTCATGTTTCACAGGCTGCTTTTGTTAGTTTCGCCGAGTTATTTCATTTTGTTCTAACAAATAATTGTATTGGTCTACCGGCTGTCGATTTGAATCCAACACTGATAGTGGATTGTTTAGAATTGGCGATAGACAATATAGAAAGGTAAGTTTTACTACTATCATTATTATTATTATCATTATTTTTCTTTGTATTGTTGCTACTGTATGTAGTCTCATAGTGTTATGAATGCTCTGTGATCATTAACGCTGTTCTACTATCGAAATCTAATTCACTTGTCAAAGGTATGTGTGGGAGGCACAAACACGAGAGAGTCAGGCAGCCTTTAGACCAGGAAGAGGGTGTATCATCAGGGAATAATCTTGTTGACTTAGAATATGCAGACGATATAGTCCTTCTAGGCGAGGACGTGGACAAAATACAGAGTCTTCTAAACACCTTGAGCTGCAATCTACGAATGTTTGGCATGCGATTCGCTCCCACCAAATGCAAGATGATGTTACAGGACTGGACTACACCGACTCCTAGACTAGAAATATGAAGTGAAGTGGTAGAGCACGTTGACCGCTTCTCTTATTTGGGAACTACCATCACCCAGTGCCAATGGGTTGATCTCTGGCGAAATCTCAGCACGGATACAGGGGGCTCGTTTCGCATTTTCCAGTTTACGCCGTCTCTGACGCAGACGAGATATTCGACTATCGACCAAAGGGTAGGTGTACTGCTCAGAAGTCCGCTCCGTCCTGCTTTATGGCTGTGAGCGAGAACTGGCCATTGAGAGTGGAAGACTTGAAAAGCATGGTTAGCTGTCTTTGATCATAGCTGCCTGCGCTCTATCTCCCGTGTGAAATGGTATAATAAAGTGAGGAATATTGAGGTTAGGCATCCGTCGAGTGCTAGGTAAGGAGGGGAAATCAATCGACGAGGCTGTGAAATTACATCGACTGAGATGGTTAGGACATGTGTTACGCATACCCGCCTAGTCATCTCCTTTCTCGACGGACGGGCAATGTTAGCTGACATACGGTCAGGCTGGAAAAGAGGTGGTGGTGGTCAAACCAAAACATGGCGGCACCAGTCAATGAAATTCGACAACAGTTAATTTAAGCCAGTCACGTAGGAAGGTGTAGACTTCCTGACTAGTTGGAGTCCTCGGGATGGTAAAAAGAAATGGTTAGAAACAGTTGGTGATATGGCTCAAAATCGTTCTCAGTGATGGCTGGCTCAGATGCATCCACTCCTTGTGACTTATGATTTCCAATGAAACTATATTGTTTTACGTAATTTCTACTCCTTTGTCTCACACCTCTGTTTGCTGTCTTTAATATGCATTTCTTAATCTTTCTTCTCTTGCTTTGTGTTCTACAGAGAGGGAGTGTGGCGACTCGAACTGTCGCACATCGGTGCAAAGTTCTATGTCAAAAACAGTTAAACAGACAGACAGACAGAAGGACTTGGCCCGTATAATATATATATATATATATATATGTTTTGTTTTCAGATGACTTTATTACAGTAATTCTTACTTGAGGATTTATTTTTGAGGGTAAAGCA